CTAGCTTTTAAATTCTTATAGTTGAGTTTAGTAGAATAGAAGATTCTACAGTTTTTTCGTGTTTATTATTTTCAATAGAGATGATCTCGGATTTCCCATTGAAAATTTTTAAAAACGCTACTTTTGGTATGTAATGATTATCCAACAAATCCAGAACATGATCGGTTTATGGTTTGTAGGTTTTTTGTAAAACTTATTCAGTATATTCGTGATTAATATCTATAATAAATAATTAATTTTAGTAGTATTTTTCTAAGAGTTTGTAAAATACTTGTATAAGATATTTACTCTTAAATATAAAAACATTTGTATCATATTAATTTATACAAAAAAAAAAAAAAAAGTAATAATAATAATTATTAGGGTTATTGATATTTTTAGATAGAATTTTATTTACATAATATAAATTTTACGAATCGGCGGTTTTCCCTTCTCTAGATAGTAGATATATATTTTAATTTAAAATTGAAAAATATAATTTTTTTTTTATCATCGTAGAGATTTTCATAATATTATTCAATTAAAAAAACCAAACCGAATTTAATCATTGTTATTTTTACGTTGATTTTTTTTCTTATTATTATATTAATATTCAAAAGTCCTTGGAAATATTATATTTTACCTCGACGTAATGCAAATCATTCATTATCATAAACAAACAAAATTAATACAACAAAACATGTGTTGCGATTTAAAAGTAGTTAAATATTCCTGGTATTAAAAAGTGACTGCGTCTGTTCAGAAATGTATTCCTTCATACACACATAATATAGTACGAGTACAATATTAGGTACAACTGAATAATATTATCTTTTTTGGCGTAAATGTAACATACAAGGTATCCCACAGTATTATCCTAATGCTAATAACCATATTAATATTGATTTTTTTTTTAAATCGGGCTTCTTACGAGGGGGACACACATGTACAGAAAAATTACATTTTTATGTGTTATTCTGTTGAATATTAATTGTCTTTATGCCAATTTTCTAAAAATTAAAACGATTATTACTAACAAGAACCACTGATTGGATACGAATGTGTACTACATTAAACATTTTATAATAATGCCTTTTTGAAAATGAAAATAAACAATAAAAATATTTTTTTTTTCAATAATTAAGGGATGAAAATAAAAATTTAATTTTTCCTGTATAAGTGGTCCCCTCGCACAAAACCTTATTGAAATATAAATATGAATATTGACAAAATTATTAGCATTATGACGATAAAAATGTAGAATACTCTGTGTTGTTAATTATTATAAAATACATAATATTATCTTACATCTCCAATAATAGTACTTAAATATTTCACTGTTTTTTTTCCAACTCTTCGGTACCATCACTTTGATTTTAAATATTCATCCAAAACGGTCTCCCACACCATCCAAACCTAACCACAACTCTTATTTCTTCTATTTATTTTCTCCGTCAATAATTTCAGCATCATCAGTTTTGTAGAATTGCCTTTTGATTTGATTAAAACCTTATAGAAACGTAACAGAACTATACAATAAATATAAAATACACAAACAACTTGATACAATAATTATAAGTGAATAATATTGATATCGAAAAATTGAAAATATTTTGGTTTTTTTTTTAGATTTCGAGCGTAGCCAAGGGCCATTGGTTTTATAATACTGTTTATTTCTTCTGTTTTTCTTTATTATAGTCTATGGATACGTTTTTCCCTAGTAAACTTGCTGTGATCTTTACGAACTGCAACTTTTCTGAAAGCCCAAGTTGTCTCCATTGTACTTTTAAACAGGTCATTTTTTGATTTTCGACGCTATTTGTTTCACAGATAACGTTTTCAACCAGAAAAAACGATTTAATGGAAAAACCACAAAATACATTTTTTTTTTGCCTTTTTGATTTTAGAACACTTTTGAGCTTTTAAGGAATTTTAATTTTTGGGAGTTTTTTGCTGTAATTCGGTTATAAATACACGTAGAGACTTGAAACTTGGTAATAATACTTATATCGGACTTACTTAGACGTGGTAAAATTTCCAAAATCTATGGATCACTTTTTCCCTTTTTTAAATTTTTTTTTAAGCACTTTTCTGAATGTCAATTTTACCTACATGGTAAAGACATTGATCATTTTTTGATTTTCGAAACGGTATTTAAAATAAAAACGATTAATCGGGAAAAAAATACGATTTTTTTTACGATTTCGTTATTTTAAATAAGTACTTACTACGTTTTCAATAGCACAAATATGGCTCCAACTGAAAAACAACAAGAGACTATATTATTATTGAATTCTTTTCATAAGCTTTTTAATCGCAAAAATAATTACGTTGTTTTAAATTATGTATTACCGAATTTCGCTCGGAATCGTCTTTTGTCAGCAATGGTTTATCGTTTCTTACTGATATAAATGAAATAACCTTATTTATCCTACCTTCGCAACTTCTTACCTATAACAGTGGCCGCTCTCATCCCCTGTATCAGCTCTTTTTTTTATTGTTGGTTTTGTATATAAAACTTTTAAAAAATATTTAATTATAACGTCTGTATATTATAAGTTTTAGAGTTTTCTTTTCAATAATATCACATGTTTTTTTTTGTTTAACATATTTTATTTATTAGTCGAATGTTGATTTTAATTAAACTTATAATTTAGGTAGTATAATAATAGAATTATTTTGTTTTTCGATTTTAAATTTCCATATTAATAATAATAATTACCTACACATCACAATTACATTAACGTTTGTGTGCCTCTCGTTCTTCTTCTAATATATACTTGTATTATTATTATTATTTTTATATTATATTCTATATAGAATGAATATTAACATGAACGATGATTGTTAAATAAACAAAAAAAAAATTAAAAATTAAAATAGTTCATATGAAATGTAAAATGCCATCTCGTTACAACGTCGTTGTACAGTTCGTTAAACTTTACAATATTTCTCTTTTTGTGTATGACGTAGCAGGAGTAACGATGCGAATATATTGTATAGATGTGTATTATGGTAATTTCGCACTTCGCGCTTCACTTTATGATAAATAATATTTATTTTAAAGTTTACAGTTTGTTGTCGATTATCATAGCCACGTTATTAGAAGATCAAGTCAGTTTCCGATTATCTCCTTATGTGGTCGCTTAGAAAGGCAACTTTAGTTCATTTTTTACCAGTTTAAGCACTTCAAACTGAACTTTATTTATGTTATGTTCAAATTTCTATAAAAACGTTAAAAATGTCAAGAATGTATGGTTCTTTTTCAAAAATTTTATAGTTTTTTTAGATTCGGAAAGTATTGAGGAATGTATTGGTTTTACAATTATGTTAATTTGTATTTTTGTTGTTCTTATCTGTAAACAATTTTTCTATCAGAAATCTTGTTTCGATTTTCCAGTGTATCACTTTTTCTGAAAGGAAATCTAACTGAGAAGGTATTTTTTTTGATTTTTTAGTTTTCATAGTAAATGGGAAAAACCGGAAAAAACTTCGGAAAAACGAGAAAATAGGTAACAAAATATGTTATGTTTAAATGGTATAAATATTACGGCCATTCAAATATGTATAATCGAACTCCGCTCAGAACCGTTTTTCGTAAGAAATAATTAACAGTTGCGTACAGACATACATTAAATTTCCTTTTTACCTTCCCAACTTTTCACCTACGAAAGTGGTTCACCCATCGTTCGAAGTATGTCCGTTTGTTTTTTATATTTTATATTTGTAAATAAATGACAGCATAATTGATAATATTTATTTAAATTAATTTTAGTAATGATTTTTTAATAGAAACGTAACGCTCGTCGCGCTATTGAAATAGTGGATACAATAGTTACTTAAAGTGGGTTTTTAGCGGCTATGTTTGATAACTGGTTAGCGCCTGATACAATCGTCGATGACTCTAATTCGTAACATTTCACGACCATGACCAGTCAACGTATCTCTATACTGTACAATGATACTTCTCCAATTCCAAAAAAAAAAAAGAGAAATACAAATCGATAAAGATTAGTATAAAGAAGAATATTTTCTATCGGAGGAAAAATAGATATATCGTCGATAGGTACTAAAGAGTTAAGAGATATTCCGACCAGGAACCCCTGACGATAATGCGCGCGTTAATGCGATTTTCGACGATGCAACTTTTAGGAGCGAATTTTCTCGGACGGAAAATATAATATATAAAAGCTCTGTGCTTTTGTTCGAAAAGATAAAAGAAATATGAGATCGATTTCGGGTAGAGTTTTATTATGGTATATATATATATATATATATGTATTATATAGTAGACGGGTAAAGAAATGTGAGACAAAATAAAATACGTTATTTGTTTTCGATTTGACGAAAACGGTTCGGTTTATGTTTTGCGATTTTCCGTGCGATTTACCCGATGAGAAAAAAAATCCGATTGATTCTCGACTGGATGCGCGTCGCTGTCGTAACTCGTACGCGGTGCGGCTGCGGGCGGTCGGGCCGTCGTGCGCGTCCGTGTGCAATTACCGTACGGGCGGCGGAGGACGCGAATACCGCCCGCCCGTCGGCCAATACTCTCGCCAGCGGTGGCGTTCGGCAAACGAGTATATATACCAGACACCGGCGAGCCGCTGCTACCGTCACGATATCGGATGACTCGGGGCAGCATGTACGCGTGACGCCCGTCAGTCGCACGGACTCCTGTTTGTTTTCGAACGTGACAAGGGGCCGAGGAGGAGGGGGTGCACTACTGACGAGCGAACGGCGAATGCGAAAAATAATCGAAACGGCTGTCGCCGCAGACGTGCGCCGGTGACGGATAAACGGCATGATTCGCTTGTGTAGTGGAGATCCTTTTCGCCCCGGTCGGACGCGGAGGCCTCCTTCTCACAATAATCAGTTTCCTCTAAAACTCATCGGGGAGGAGGGGGTCGATCTCGGCCGATATTATAGAAAAAAAAAAAAAAAAAAAACGAAAATCAAATTTACTTAAACTCTTTGGTGAAAATCTCTAGATTATAATGGATTCGGTGAGTCATTATATTCATTTAAGGGGGGACGCTACACGACATGCTGCATTTGACGCCTAAAAAAAGCCTCAGATAATTTTCGTATACACCAGACAGCAAACTAGATCAAATTCAATTCCCCTAAAACACTAAAAAAACCTAAACAATTGACAGGCAGCACGCGAACTCCAAATCACTTTCCCGAAATACCTATACAGATTACTTACCTTCGGGAAATGCTGCGAAAATACAAAAGTCAAAGTTAAAATCAGAAACAACCTATTGAAAAACTGGTCCCTTCCAAGTGAGGCCCACACTCTATAACCCTTAAATCAACAGCTCTAGAAGCTCTGTACTACTCGGCTGCGGAATACAGCGTGGTTTTCTTTGACCAGTGGAAACAATATAGACATGGTACTTAATGAATAATGCAAAATAATCATGTCTAAAACCAACAACCACTTACAAACTGTACACACTATGTGAGATAGCTCCGCCGGACGACATAAGATAAGGTTATATAGGTTAAAGTAAAAGAAAAAAAAAGTGAAATGCAACTCTGCCGAAAAACACCTATAGCAGGGGTGTCCAAATTGTTGTGAAGACTGGGTCACATCATGTAAGTAGAAGTTATTATGGGCCACATACATTTTAATAATAATGCACTTTATTTATAATTTTTACCACAGTGAATAGAAGTGGAAATATTGTGACGACCTATTACGTTCTATTTATAATTAAAAGAAAAACAATATTTATTTATGATTAAAAGAAAACAATTTTGAAATAGTTGTATTGTTATTTTAGTTACATTAGTTTCATTATCGCTATCGGATTCAAATAAAGATAAAACTTTCATATAATATTTAAATTTTTTTTTAATTTTTAATATTTTGTAGTTTTATATTCTTAAAATAAATTTTTTATAATTAATCGGTGGTTTGAAATTGAAGTGAGAGCTTTATTAAAATCTACTGCGAGCCAAATGTGGCCCACGGGCCGTGGGTTGGACACCCTTATTTTTTAGTCTACCTGAACATAAAATACGCAACGGTATATTAAATTCAAGAAACATCTTTCTATATAACACGTCAGAGGTTCTACTCTCAAAATCATAGCAACGCGTCCTAAGATTTAATGACAAGTGCTAAGCTTAAAATTCAACATCGATAAAAACAACTGCAGAGGATTTACCACCAGGTAACTGATATATAAATATAGACTATGGAAAATCTTAAACCGCCTAAGTACTGAAGTCGCAAAAGTAAAAAAAGAATCTTGTGCGATAGAAAATAGGAGAGACTGCAGAGTGCGAATGTAGAGATGGAGACGAGCAAGTCGATCAAAATCTAATACAGTGCAGACTGTTCGACACGAAGTAATTGTGTCAAGTATTTGTTTTCTCCGTCTTATAAACAAATTTGCAGTTTTTTCAGTCTAACGTAGTGCTTCCAGTTGAGTCTGAGTCCAGGTCCATTCCTAAATATTTTGCTGAGTCACACTGTGGGATGCTCTGCTGATGTAGCAATACCGATTTATAGACGGTTTTGCGCAAGGTGTAATTTACGTGCATCGATTTTTCACTGTTAATTTTAATCTTCATACGTTTCGTCCGGTTGGAAACGTTGTTGATGGACCTTTGAAGCCAATCAGTCGAAGTCTGCTGGTCTTCATTTGTTGTCATTATTGCCGTGTCATCAGCAAACACGACTGTCATTGAATAGTTGTTGGTTGGAATGTCCGCAGTGTAGAGTAAGTAAAGGATCGGTCCAAGGACGCTTCCCTGTGGTACACCAGCCAATATTTTTATCCAATCAGTTAATGCTTCATCATGAATGATCTTGAATTAATGTTTGTAAGACGGAGAAAAATATAATATATATTATAATGTTAAGGTATTATAGGTATTAGATAAATCGCTATTTCTGCAATGACAAAATATTACCATGCGTCGTTATTCGATTCACTATGCTATCATTCCAAATATGTACGTGACGTGTGTATATCAAACTCATTCGAAGGTACCTTTTTCACTCTTTTGAACATATGTTCCTCTTTTCGTTTCTATATAAAATAAATATAATAAATACGTAATATTTATTATGTTTATTTTGAACATCTCAAGTATTTTTTTCACAAAATATCGGGTGTTTTTTTATGCCAAGAATATATTATATTATATCAAATTGTTTAAAAATCCATCACAGTTCTGCGCAGGACATACTTGCTTATATATGCATTTGCAGTTATATTGTTTTATATGAAAACCATAAAAATCACATATTTTCTTCAAATTAAAACCTTTTTAAAGTACGTGATAAAATTGAAATATGTTTAAAAATTCTATGATTATTGTTATTTTTTTTTATTTTGAGGTAATGAACAACCTCTTGGGACGTTTCGTGGAAAATACCAATTTTAAAAAATAAAGACCATCTTAATATATGCATACCTATAGTACATACCTGGTTTATACATATTGACGAACACGTGCCAACCTTAGTCTGAATTAAAGCGATTTTAATATTTCAAAGAAAAAAAAAAAAAAAAAAAAAAAAAAATGTATACCTATACTCGTTCCAATCTATTTTTATACGATGTATTATTATTATGAATTTGAAATTCGCAGCTTGTTATCTCGACCATGGACTGTATAACAGTAGGTGAATTGACGACAGGCCCATGCCAAGTATATTATAATATTATACATGCTGTGCAGCAGAATACCGGACACGCATGTAAAACAAAAATAATTTTTTTTTTTTTAAATTTCGTTGGCAATTCCTTTTCGTTTTAAACTATATAATAATTAATTTATAATCGAGTTATAATAGCAGGTTTAAGTATATGCGTCATGTTTTGTGTTTAGTTTCTGGGTACAGCGAGGAATGTATTTCTTTTATTGTAATATGATGTGTGTTTTTCTGTTTTATTATTTAATAATATAAATGCATTAATCATGTTCTGATTTTCAAGTAAAGTTTTTTTTTTCGAAAGAAAATATTGTCTAATTGGTGTATCGAGGAGGTCGTTTTTTTATTTTCCTTGTAACTTTCTTAATAATTGGAAATAACCGGCAAAAATTGTGGGATAAAATGGATCGTGGACAATTTACTGCCAAGCAATTCACCACCGGATATACTTGCCATGAAATGTAATAAATATATAAATAGGTACCTACCTTTAAAATTAATTTGAACTTTAAAATGTTTAGAACCAAACTGAATATTTAAAAGTATACTTACTGATATCGAAGTTAAACTCAGAACTGTCCATGGTTTTAACTCAGGTTTGGTAGATATTTGTTTATTTGGTTAACCGTATTATGGACTTCTTATTTTGTTGGATCTGGTACGTGTTTATGAATTGTTTCTTTAATCGCCTTTTCATCGCTCAAATGCAAACGTTCTTTACATTTAGTGGTCTGCTATTTTTCGCATTTCTATATGTTTTTTTTAAGCCATATTTTTCAAATTAGTAAAGATAGCCATAATATACTAATTTGTTCTCGTTTCGTTCACTTTTAATAAGTTACGGTACCCATTAAAATATTTAATTGTTAACATCCATAGTAATAAACATATTAAACGTATATTTATAGATCCTGTGAGTACACTAAAGTTGGCGACCTGAACTAGGTTAAACTAAGTCACAATAGGCTATCGATTGAGATTACGATTATCTATAATATACTTTTATCGATAACCCTGTGTCATGACAATTATCTATGAAATATAACTAACCATTGGCAATTTAGAAATAATATTATTTATTTGAAATGATTATTTAAATGATATATAACCGGACGGTGAATTGTCCGGATGGTACATTGTTCGCATTTAATATTGTTCGGCTACCAATAAAACAGGCAAATTCACCTCAATAATTGTTTAATTATTTTCGATTTTAAGATTCTGAGCACAGTTTATTTTTACACTAATTACAAATATTTTGAATTTAATTTTTAATTTTAAATTCCGAGTCGAACGAAAGAGTATTACGAAAGTTTCGTGTAGTATACTTATATGTATATATAAACGGAAATGGACACAGATGGTACTTAAGAGAGGTCATTTTTCGAATACATCCCAATATAGTTTTCGAGTTAATTTACGGCGCGGCCGTTTTTAACAAAATCGATTTTTCTTATATTTCGTTGTAAATCAGTAGATACACTAATCCTGTACATTATACAGGGTGTAACTAGAGTATGAAATGTGCGAAGTTTCTTTTTCTTTTTTAGTGTTAAATAAAAGTGGAATGAATTTTTTCGTGAATTCGGATTGTTTACGGAATTTTCAATATTTTTTCTGTTTAATCGGTTTGCATACATCAGATTTTTTATTTGGATTTCGTAATTATTATTTTTAGATCTCTTTTAATATTGAATATTAATAAATGGAAAAATTTGTTTGTTTGTTGGTTTATCTTTGCACGATCTACAGCCTAATATGCAGAGATCTGAAAATGTGCATACAGAATTGATGAACAGGTCCGTGTACACCTCAAAGAAGGATTTCCGAAATTTAACCCCTATAGGATGGCTCACATAAAGCTTCTTGTATTTCTGAAATAAAAATCTAATTATTCAAGTTGGTTTATGAGTTATATTGATATCATGGATGGAATAATAAAAAAAAATATATTTATTATCAGTTAATTTGTTAGTTACTGGTTAGTTTCAAAGACCTTTGGGAAATTCAAAACATGACAACTAGGAGAAAATAATTGGTAGTCTTGTCTACTGGTTTTAGATTCCGAGTATAGCGAGAGAGCTATTGATTTTACTAAGATGATTATTATTTTCTTTGTTCTAGACTGTGGACACGTTTTTTCCTAGTAAACTTGCTGTGATTTTTACAAACTATAACTTTTCTGAAAGCCCAAGTTGTCTAGATTGTACTTTAAATTAGATCTTTTTTTGATTTTCGACGCCATTTTTTTTATTAAAACCACTTAAGCGAGAAAAAACGTAGGAGAATGTATAATTTTACGATTTCATTATTTTATAAATCATGGACGACGTTTTCTACCAGAAAAAAATGATTTAATCGAAAAATCACAAGATACCTTTTTTGTTGCATTTTGATTTAATTTCTTATGGTATCATCTCCAAAACTTTTGAGTATGTAAAGAATTTGAATTTTTGAGAGTTTTCTGTTGTAATTCGGTTATAAATACACGTAGATACTTGAAACTTGATAATAATACTTATATTGGACTTACCTAGACGTGGTAAAATTTCCAAAATTATCTCGAAATTGACTTTTTTTTTTAAATAAGCATTTTGGAATCAAATTTAAACGAAAATTGCAAAAAAAATTACGGCACTTTAAATTATACATTATTGAACTGCGCTCAGAATCGTCTTTCGTCAAGCAATGGTTTATCATTACTTACAGATGTAAATGAAATAACATTCTCAACTTCTTACCTAAAATAGTGGCCGCTCTCATCCCTAGTATCAGCTTTTTTTTCCTTGTAATATTTATTTAATAATAAACTAAATTAAATCGACACAAATTGCGTATCTTTACTCATATAATTTATTTTTATTTACGCTATACCACTTATTAAAACGATGTAAACAACTCTTCGTATAAACATTTTTGTAGAAAATTTTAACATAAATGTAACTGCATTGATTATAGATAGGCTAAGACCAATTACTATCGTTTAAAAAAGATAAATCGAGTAAACCAAAATCCAAATTTCATTCTATAAATTACTTATAGGTAAATTTACATCCACTTAATATAAACTAATTTTGCAGTTTTATAATATAAAAAACAGAAGCAAAACGGGCGTTGGTCATCTGCAACTAATTAGAACCGCGAAGTATGACAACGATGAATACTAATTTTACATTTAAAGCTTATTTAAATTTATATGGGTGTTTATATTTTTTTCATCTCCTTTCTCTCGTTAACATACATTTGATAATTCCTACAACATACCGTAGGTTAACAAACCAAAGTGAGCGTGTATTACAATATAAAAGTGTTAAAGATAAAGTGTTCGACATAGAGTCTTTGAACAATTTTTTAAATTTAAATTTCATATTACTTAGTATATTCTATCATACGATTAATTATGAAGATTAGAAGATTATGAAGATGCTAGAAATTACCAACACGTAAATTATGATTAATAGGTAAAAATATAAAAACTTAAAACTAAAATTTCACCCAAAGTCAACGTTAAGGAAAACTTATCATTAAAACCAGATAAAATAATTTTAATATTAATTAAGTAAGTAGATAAAGATAAGGTAATATCAATTATGAAAACTATTTTCAAACATTTCATTTTTTAATAATAACAAAATCAGTAGGTCGCAAATACATTTTATTTCTTTTTAATATTTAGATTAGGTATTTTATCCGTTCTTATATCATTGGAGTTAAAGTATACATTTTATACATTTATTTTCATTTTTTTTTTTTAATATATATATATAATTTTACATTTGGTTTATAATATTTTAATTAAACTGTAAGCCTAAATAAATTTGATACAGTTCGACTATGGCACTACATAAACAATACAATTTTTCCAAAATTGCATTACTCCTTGTTAATTTTTACTGTTTAATATGATTTAAACGAGTATTAATTTTTTTTTTATTTGTGAGTATGTTGCGTTTTAAGATCATAAAAGTTTGCACATGAACTTATATGAACATTATTTGATTGAAGTTGTTATCACAACCTTATA